AAGGTCCTCCCAACAAGAAATCAGAGGCTGCTGCATGGTGCCTGCAAAATAGGAATGTGTGCCCAGTACCAGGAACAGGCAGAGAAGGGGCCCAACATAGCCCGGGGAGGAGAAGGGGGGCTTCCCAGAGGACTGGAGCTCTGCTCTGAGTCATATTCAAAATAACACAGAAAATGCACAAACATATAGAGAGAATAAAAATATATACAGAGAAACAAAGTATTCAGCATCCATCACCCAGCGATAAATAAGCGCTGCTAACACTTTGTGTAATTTATTTTATATATATATATATATATACTTTGTTTTCCTTTATTTGTTTTAAATTAAGGTCATACAGCTTTTTGTTAAACCTCATTTTCTCATTAAGCTCTCTTCAAAAATTGATTATGAGCTGTTTTTTAAAATGTGATAAAAGTTTATTATATTAATATTAGTTACTTATCTTATTGGCATAAATGATGCTATGATGAGCATTCATAAGCTTAAATCTTAATGCATCTCTCACATTATGTGCTTAAGATTAAGTTCCTAGAAATGGAATTGCTGAGTCAGCAGGAATGTACCTTTATAAAGCCCTTGGGACCTGGAGAAACAGTTAAGTGTTTCAACTGAAAAAGCAAGCATGCTAGGGGTGGTGAGGTGGCTGGCTTCACAGTGAGCCTGGAGAAGCAGGTGAGGCTTATGGTCAGTGACAAGAGGAGGAGGGAGAAGGGGATGGAATCAGACATCTCAGCCCCTGTTCCCATTCTCCCTCCACAGCCCCTGCCGAGGGAGGCCCAGTGCAGCTTCTGCCACTGGAGCCCAGGAGCTCAGTCAAAGCCTCAGCTAGTTAGAGTGGGTTTCTGGTCCAGGAAACTTAGATGCCTGGACAAAAATAAGTGGAAAGCACAACAGGACAAGGCTGCAGGTGAAGAGAACAGCTGTACTAATATTTAAGGGAGCAGGGTAAATAGATGGGAATGAGGGAGTATCTCCCACAGAGAGAGCCGGGAGCATCATAGAAGCAGAAAAAAGTACAGAAGTGAGAATTCTAGAGGCCATGATAGTAAAACATTGTAACAACGATTCAAGTGCTGCTGGAAAACACCCATTAGGTTTTCCCACTAGGAAGCTCTTGGAAAAGTCCTGGGGGAAAGCCAATTCAGGGGGATGGAGGGAACCAAGCCAGAACACAGGGGTTGAAGGGTTCCACGGTATATGAGGAGTTTGACACAGGAATAGAGAAGACTCTTATAACCAAAATTAAAACTGCCTTTCCATAGAAACGCCTGTGTCTCAGATGTGTGTGCTTTGTAGATTAATGTGGAGAGCACTCTGTGAGTGGTCAGTTGGGAGAGAAGCTCAGGCCTCCATATAAAAAACATGAAACTCTGAAGGACAGAGCAGAGGTCACAGAGCAGGATTCATGACAGGATATAGGACAGGCCAGAACTTGGGGAACACATGACCAATCCCGGATTCACACACCATTGAGCAAACTATTCCAGGAACAGGACTGTGGAGCCATTTCTGGCACAAGAGGATGGGGAATGATGTGGTCACATTGCCAGGCAGACAGACATGCGGCAGGTGGATGCAACATCTGCCTCAAAGGGATTCCAGAGCTGGGGCCCCTGGACCAAAATGCAAGGGCAATTAGGCTTCAGTATTATTTTCCATATGGAGAAAAACTGTTTTACTGAAGTTTCTGTGCGAGTGGAGCAGGATGACATGATCCGCAAGCTCATCCCTTTATCAGAACTCTCTCCTTAGTTCTGGAATGCAGGAACCAAGGACAGACAAGGTCATGGCAAGAATCTCTCAGAATCATCCCCAGAAGCATCCTATAGACATCTGTGGCCCACTCTGCCCTGGCAGGAGGCAAGGAGCTCCAAGAGGCCCACGTATGGTTTCAGATCATAGCCTCCTCCACATGCTACAAAGGGGGCTCTCCACAGGCAGCGCAGCGACAGAATCATAAAACATCTGGCCAGTCTGGAAGGCTCAGCTAACCGCCAGCACGCAGGCCATTGGGCTGTGGACACTGGCCAGCAGGCACCAGCCACCCATGTGGGTCCCCACTGGCCTCAGACGCATCGTGCCTGCTCGCTGTTGTGTTCTTGAAGCTACAAGAACCTTAATAAGGAGGAAGAAAGCTCAAAAGGAACCCCTGAGCTCCCTGGATTGGGCAGCAAGTATTCCCCAAAGTCCTCATTTTTATCTCTGTTCCAAGCATTTCTTTTGCTGCATAAAAACAATCACCTTGCTGTAGCTACTCAAAACACTGAAAGCACCTTCCCTGTCTTTCTCTACAAAGGTTAATAAAACCAGAGCCATTTAAGCCAGGGTCACAAACTCCTATGATTCCGGGGCCAGATGGAGCCACCTTTCGCTGGTGAGCTAGAGCAAAGCCAGGCCCTACCCGACAGAGGCAGCCCTTCACAGGCCAAGATGCCTGCCCAGTGCTGCCATGTCTTCCAACTTTTCCTTTAACTTTTATGTAAATATCCCTTTAATTATAAAGGTTGGCTCAAAGGTTTTAAAACAGACAATGCATTGTCTGTTTTAAAACAGGTCAAACAATGCTTGTCCAGAGGCTGGATCCAACCAAGGTTTCAGGTCCAAATTTAACAAAACATCATACCACATATACCTGCACACACAAAATAATTCTAAAAATCTGTTAAATTCCCTGAATTCATTTGCAGTTTTGTCTTTTGCCATTGGACTTCCAAAGGCACCAGTGTCATTTTTAGGCTCAATTGCAAGCTGCCATGCAGAAAATGTCCCCCCACGGTCCCCAGCCCAGGCCTCCCTGAAGCAGATGGTGGGGCCGACAAGCTGGAGTGATGCTCACGCGGTAGGGAGGCTGAGATGGGGTACAGTGTCTGTGTGCCAGCTCCCATCTTCCCACAAAGCCAAGCAGGCCAAGCAGAGTTGCTCCAACAAAAGGCAGACAGCATCTGTTCTCAGGCAACCTGAGGACTACAGGTGTTTTCAAAGCTGCTTTGAAACCTGGTAACTCCAGCATTCTTCAGTGTAGTTAAGGAACCCAACTTTCCCGAACTACTGAATCTAGGAAGTCAATGTCAGTCCTGTCCATTT